AGAGAGCGAGATGACACAGGGGCTAACAGAGCAAAAACGGTACCAACCCCTTGGCATGAGAATGTGTAGTTTATGAATGCACCGTGGAAACTTGATATTTTGTGAATTTTGTCAATCAAAAGTCGCTGCCCAGTGGACAGCTAGCGCGGCGGATTTGGTGTGGTTTGACCGCGTCTGGCTTTGCAAAGCCTTCTGATCATCCGGGTTGCCCCACTATTATTGTTGCAAGTGCGGAATTCGGTCCGTTGTGCAAGTTGCTGCTCTCTGTGGAAGATGTTTGAATTGAATACTGCAAGCACCTCATCCGACTGGGGACGGACAACATGTTGCCCAACATGTTGTCAGTGAAATACGGCGTTGGTTGGAGAAAGGCGATGTCTTTTTCCCGCAAAGGTATGGTAAAGGGTTGCCATCCACATTGCAAGCGTGTGTTCTTCCCCAGCATGGTCTGCAATATTCGGGAGGGGACCGCAACTTTTTCGCCGAACAGTAGCGATGCGCCGCGCATGGCGCCGATGAGTGCGCCATGAAACAATAATGCTCGTTGTGCTTGGTGCAAGCAGCCCCAGTACAATCAACCCCCCTCAGACACTCTGCTGTCATTGGAGCAGGCACCGAGCACTGCTGACGAGAACACTTTTTGAGGCATCGTGTGACCACGGCACGGTCGGTCCATGAAGGGCCCAAGCAAGGCGTGGGGGCGGAGCACGATCCTTTGCTGATGGATAGCTTGCGGCGGAGGTATGCCCGTCCCCTGTGCAGAGCTAAGTAATGTGAACGACAATGACTTTACGGAAGCATCCCGATCCCCTTAAGCGTAATGGGACACCTCTGGAATTCCATGCGTGGATAACATGCCGGGGGCAACGTTAGTGGCGGTGTTCCCTCTACGGATGCTTCCCAGTTGGATATGCGGGATGATCACAGAAGCTGCAATCCTATGTTTTACAGCCTGGCTTCTGATAGAATGCCGGCATGCGTCCAAATGATATGTGAGCCGGCATGCGTCCAAATAACATGTGAGCAGCAATCAGGACCCTGGAAGCCCAATTTAACACACACACACACGAACACACCGACACCCACACCCAAGCAGGCGGGCGCCCGCATATCCACGCGCGCACACGCATGCGCAGGCACACACACGAGCGCTCACGATGCTCACGCACATACGAACACACGCGCGCGCTCACGCGCACATACGCGCACACACACACACACAGACACAAACCGTGCGCGTGCACACGCACAGACGCGCGCACACACGGACAGACACACACGCACAAACACACGCAAGCACACACACACAAACACACACTCACACACAGACACAGACACACAGACACAGAGACACACACACACACACACACACGCACACACGCACGCACGCACGCACGCACGCACGCACGCGCGCACGCGCACACGCGCACACGCGCACACGCGCACACGCACGCACGCACACACACACAGACACAGACACAGACACAGACACAGACACAGACACAGACACAGACACAGACACAGACACAGACACAGACACAGACACAGACACAGACACAGACACAGACACAGACACAGACACAGACACAGACACAGACACAGACACAGACACATACACAGACACAGACACAGACACAGACACAGACACAGACACAGACACAGACACAGACACAGACACAGACACAGACAGACACAGACACAGACACAGACACAGACACAGACACAGACACAGACACAGACACAGACACAGACACAGACACAGACACAGACACAGACACAGACACAGACACAGACACAGACACAGACACATACACAGACACAGACACAGACACAGACACAGACACAGACACAGACACAGACACAGACACAGACACAGACACAGACACAGACACAGACACAGACACAGACACAGACACAGACACACACACACACACCAACACACACACCAACACACACACACCAACACACACACACCAACACACACACACCAACACACACACACACACCAACACACACACCAACACACACACCAACACACACACCAACACACACACACACCAACACACACACACACGCACACCAACACACACACACACCAACACACACACACACACCAACACACACACCAACACACACACACACCAACACACACACACACACACCAACACACACACACACACCAACACACACACACACACACCCACCCACACACACACACCAACACACACACCAACACACACCAACACACACACACACATACCAACACATACCAACACACACCAACACACACCAACACACACACACAGACTCACAGACGCAGACACACAGGCACACAGGCACACAGACACAGACACACAGACACACACAGACACAGAGACAGAGAGACGCAGACACAGACACGGACACAGACGCAGACACATACACAAGCACGTAGCGTTCCTGCGCACACGCGCAAGCAAGCACACGCACGTGACGACACAGGAAGAGCTGAGGCATGGCGAACGACCCCAGTCGCGCCACAGGCTCGACCACGCAGCCGCCTTACCTGCCAGCCATCAAATGGTGAGCCCTTTGCGTCGGCCTTCGCAAAGCTCGCGCTTGTTGCACGCGTACCCCTTTGCGTACTTTCGGGGCATCAACCTTAAACAACTCGCCTTTTTAACAAATTTGGCTCCTTTCGGCGGGGCTGTTCTGTCTCTTTTTTCAGCTTGCACGGCCATCAGGGACGAACCCTGTGTGGACTTGCACGTGGTTGACCGCAACAACTGGTATTTTTGTTGGCCTGTCATCCGCCAGCTAGCTGGACTTAATTAAGCGACGTGCTGTTGAAGTCCGCAAGCTAACTAGCTAAGCAGCTGGATGGCCAACCAAACGGCTTGCTAGCTAAATTTGCGCGCTAATTCGCAAACTGGGTGATTAGCCAATCAGTTTGCTAACTGGCTATCTGAGCCTGGGCAACGGCGAGTTAGTGCGAGCTGGCCAACTTTCTGAAGCGCCGGCTCATTCTCGAATTTGTTGTTTGCCTGACGAGCTCACTTGTTAATTGTTAGCTGGATAATCTTGCAAGCAAGCTATCTACCCAACTATCTTGTTCTCACGCAAGTAGCAGACTTGCACGCGACAAACTCAAGCTAACCAGCTACACAGCAAGAAAAGGCTGCGCTGGCACCTCACGGAGCGTGTGCCACACTATTTATGTGTTTTATATGGTTGAAACTTTAACCCCCCGGGCTTTGCCGGATGTTTTTGGCACAGAGGGCCGCGCACACACGTTTGCGATCGTATCGAGAGAACCCATATCCATTCATCCATGGGTCTCAGGCGCAAGCTCACAGGCGCGCGATTCGCTCGCCAAAGGCCGCCCCCAAGCCAAGTCTAGGCGGCTTGCCAGGCCAGCGGTTGCCGTGGCGGGATGAAAGCACGCACCCACGCAGCGCTGCTGAGAGTTGGTGTTTCGTCACTGGTTTCTCGTGTGCCCCCAGTGCCCTGCTGAAAGAGGTCTTCGCGCCATCCAACTGGAAAATATGTGTTTATTGAGGTCACCCGCGTTACGACACGCGCAAATGTGACGACCGTGGGGGCAAACAAGAGGGCCAACGGACAGAGATGAACTCACCACCTTTGCGGTCGCTGGAGGGTTCGCGCTTTCAAGTTTTGGCCGTCCTCGATGGGCCGAGCTTGGCTTTGAGGCGAGTGAGGTCGCAGCCTTCCACCCGAAAACAAGCAATGTTGTGATTGACTCAAAGCATGTGTGGTGTTCAAAGTCAGGGACGCCATTGCGTGTGGGGTGCAATAGGGAAAAAACCAACAATGCTACGGGCCATCTCTTTTGGACACACTCATGTGTCTCTTCATACCCACCCACACTGCCCGAGTCGAATTGGCTTGTGGAGTGGTAGCACGGAGATATTGTTGCTGTAGTTTTAGGCTGGAGCCCGGAAGGCTCCAGAGACCAAGGTTGGTTTTCGGTCGCATTCCCGAGTCCTGCGCCGATGGGAACGGCACAGGCTCTTGCGGAGGACCGAGGACTTGTTGGTTTCCAAAGTTTGTGCTAGCGGGGCGTGAATTTGAGCGTGGCAACGCCGCTCCGCCACGCATAGCAATGGTCAGTCTTCGCCATCACCTTTTGGGTGCAAGGCAGGCTCACCAAATCACCCGTGAAAGCACAATGTGGGGGGACTTGTCAATGTCGGCGCTGGCTGAATATGGGCTGTGGCTCATGCCTCGCATCGAGGGCTGCGCCACTCAGAATTGAACAGGCATTTTGAGGGCACAAGCCCAGGTTGCAAGCAGGGCATGAAATAGTATGCCCTTGGAGCTCAAGCAACAGTTCATTTGTTTTAAGTAGCCACGAATCTCAGCCAAAAGCGTGTGGCTTTCAGGCGTCAGACCCAATCGGTACCTCCCACTAGCGGCACAAAAGCGGCTCGGGAATGCGTGGGTGTGAGTGCGAAGGGTGGCACCGGCGTGTGTCTTCACGGCCTTGCCTTCCATGGAAATGCCAATCGAAGCAAACTCCCTTTTTGGCAGTTTCAAGATGGAGCTTTGCCGCTCATGAGGAACCCACATGGAACCAATATGTGTGTGGGTGTTTCTTAAGGAAACGACCCGGGCACATGGCTGATGCTCGATATTGGTTTTCATGTTTGTTCACCATCTGATTTCAAACGAACACGAGTAGCTCAAGACGTTGAATACAGAGTGCAAATTGACTTCTGGCGTGACGGCAAAGGTAACCCTTTTGAAATGCCTTCAGGAAGCCAAGAGGTGCCAACCAATCGGGTGCCCGTTTTTTTGAGACGGTCACAGGTGTTTAAACATCGGGCCGTGTGTTGCTTTTGTCTTTTCTGGGCGATCCCTCAATTCCTGTACCAGCGAACGAATGGACACGGGCAATGCTGGATTCCAGTATTTGTTCCTCCTACTCTTGGAGGGGGCATGGGAGTGAGGGTGCCACATGAGCCTCATAAGTGTGGCTGGAGTGAAGTTGAGTGGCCAAGGTTGCTGTGGAGGATGCTGGCTGCCGCCCTGACAGATGAGGCACATGGGTTCTCAGAAGATCCGTGAGTGTTGCTTGCAGGAACGGAAACACAAGTCCCTTTACGTGCGCAAATAAACGAGATGACTACACCATCCCCACCTGTTAGGGTGTGAAACGGGGGGGAACGTCTGATCATGTAATTTGCATTTTCCGCCTCCTCCGCTGACAAGGTAAGCAAACTTCACCCCAGGTGAATATTTCTGCTTTGTTGGGGTGGGCGGAGGGGGGGAGAAATATAGCTTGACACCTGGGCACGTAGAAGTTACCTTTTCTCTTCCCCCCCCCCCCCGAAAGAAGAGTGATTGACATGTTCAATGATTTTCTGGGAAGCTTGATAGGGTGAAGGAGCACACAAAATGTAAGCTGACGATGCTGGTGGGGCAGATGTGGTGCGAAGAGGCGTTGGACGGCATCTGGGCCGGGGTAGGGCTTGCGTTGCCCTGACACTGTTAGCAAATCCCAGAAGTGCAAATGCCATTTGCAGATGCCCCCGCCCCCCCCAAGGGTGGGGATACTGGATTGTTCCAACTTTTTCACCGGTTGTACCACACCTATGTCACTTTACGAATGGATCGTGGGCCATGTGGGGTGTTTCGCGAACTCGGGTATTTTTCCTGCACCCGAGCTTTGTCCCGGTTCCCGTCTTTTGATTGTGGGTCATAAAGCATACTGTTTAGGATCCATATTGCGTTCAAGCACTCCTTCCATTTCCTTTCTCTCCAGAAGAGCTCTTGATTACATGTGGGCCTGCCAGGCAAGCACATGCACACACTACGTCCAGTCCTGACGTTCATGCTGAAAGTCTTATCTTGCCTGCCACAGCTTGCACACGCTTACGTGCAGTCCTGTCCTGTCTTGGAAGGGGTTTCCCCAAGTGAAGTCCTTCTTTGTCCTTTTGCAGCCCTCTCTGATTTGGATTAGCCGATAGCTGGCAGTCAGCGCCTGGCAGGACCTGGATGTGGAGATGCTCAGGAGCCTTGGCCTCCCGGGCCGCAGCTGGCAGAAGGTGCTCCGCAGACCCCCGGAGGCAGCCGAAGAGGCGAGCGCCACCTTGGCTCTTCAACTGCAGTCAGATCGATTTCGCATGTCCAGGGCCCTTGGGGTTGAATTGTTGGACTTCTGTTTGATTGTGGATGGTCGTCCTTATTGGTGGGAGTAGCGAGGTTCTGCCATCTTCAGTGCCTTCTGGCAATTGTCCCTTTCGCACTGCATGCCTCCGCCGAGTGAGCTTCATTGTTCTTTTCCCTTGACAGGCTTGGAGCTGAGTGCATGACAAGTGGCTTGCTCATCCCACGGGGTTAAGTGAGGAATAAAGCCCACATGCTGCGATTCACCTTCCGGTTCGCTCGGAGTTTGCTGTCGGTGGCTGGACAACAGACCACCACCACCACCACCACCACCACCACCACCACCACCACCACCACCACCACCACTCCATGCCACTCCATGCCACTCCATGCCACTCCATGCCACTCCATGCCACTCCATGCCACTCCATGCCACTCCATGCCACTCCATGCCACTCCATGCCACTCCACGCCACTCCACGCCACGCCACTCCACTCCACTCCACTCCACTCCACTCCACTCCACTCCACTCCACTCCACTCCACTCCACTCCACTCCACTGCACGCCACATCACTCCACTCCACTCCGAATCCCTCCACTTCCACCTCCACTTCCATTCCACTTCCACTTCACTTCCACTTCCACTTCCACTTCCTCTTCCACTTCCACTTCCACTCTGCTCCACTCCATTCCATTCCCCTCCGCTTCCACTTCCGCGTTCACGTCCACTTCCACTTCCATTTCCACTTCCAGTTCTACTTCAACTCCTCCACTCCACCCACTCCTCCACTCCACTCCACTCCACTCCACTCCACTCCACTCCACTCCACTCCACTCCACTCCACTCCACTCCACTCCACTCCACTCCACTCCACTCCACTCCACTCCACTCCATTGCACGCCACATCACTCCACTCCACCCCGAATCCCTCCACTTCCACCTCCACTTCCATTCCACTTCCACTTCCACTTCCACTTCCACTTCCACCCTGCTGCACTCCATTCCATTCCCCTCCGCTTCCACTTCCGCGTTCACGTCCACTTCCGCTTCCACTTCCATTTCCACTTCCAGTTCTACTCCACTCCTCCACTCCTCCACTCCTCCACTCCTCCACTCCTCCACTCCTCCACTCCTCCACTTGCACTTCACTTGGCCAGAAGCGCAAACTTGAGTTTTTTTGCTGAGGCGCTGCTCGTTGCCCAGCTGGACCCTCAGTCCTTGCCGGACCTGCTGCGTGCTTTCCGGGCCCCTTCCTGGCCCGGCCTTGCGGCTCCATGGGAGCCGGAGGCACGCGAGCAGGCCGGCGCTTTTTTTCTTCTTCTTGTTTTCTCGACAGTTGGGTGAAAGTAGATGGCATGTCCCGTGTCATTGTGAGAGATGACACTCTTTCACGCAACGGGGTCGTTTGCCAGCTTAGGGGGGGCCCAAATCCCTTATGTTGATACGGTGAAATGCCAAAAGATCAGCAGCTGATTCCTCCGGGCCGGCTGGTTTGTTTCATTGTCCGATTGGGCCAATGTTAAAGTGAGTTGACTGATCAGAGGAATCCGCTTGCAGCGGGATCTCAAGTAGTTCCTGGCCACGGAGCCCGTTAGAGGCAATGGGAAGGTCCCCGCGGCAGGCCAAGCTTATGGGACGAGCGAGCAAAGCTTCCACCTGACCCATCCAAAAACACTCAGGCCGAGCACAGCTGGGCAACAGCAATGGCGGGATTGGACATGTCCCTGTTGCGCCGTAATTGGCAAATCCCGGAAAAGGTGCCTTGGCTTCAAGGTCCCAAGCCTATGGGCCTAATCCGATCCCAAGCCCACAAACCATCGCAGCACACCAAGCTGAGGCGTAAATCAAGTTTTCGGACAAAGACTTGTTTTGAGGGTGCCTAAAGGGCTGTTGAATGCCTGGCAAGCATTGGGCCCAAGACGTGATTTCATTCCCCCTTTTTCCCGCCCGCAGATTCTCGAGCGCTTGCCGGCGGTTCTTCCGCTGCGGGCCGCTACGCAGCGGGCGGTCGGCGAGCTGCCGCCGGCCTACGACGAGCTCTTCCCAGGCTGGCCGAGCGCGGGCGTCGGGCTCCTTGACCAGGCTTCCCGCTCCCAAAAGGTGGTCTCTTGAAACCACCTGTTTAGCTTTTGGTTTCAATCTTCAATATTGTTGCACTTTGATAGATACTTTCTGAATTCAGCAAATGTAAACTTTAGGACGGCAGTCGCCATCTTACGTTTCAAGAAGTGAGAACCCAAGACAGATGTTCTCGCGCGAGGTCGGAACGAAGCCTGATGCGCCGGAGGCCCAGTGAGCCTAAGGCCCATGACTTGTTGCTTCGGTCTATTTCAAGCGGCCCATGCAAGCATCTGAGCATGCGAGCATGAGCATGCTGGGAAACTGTTTGCCTAGGCAAGTCCCGTTGTCGTGCAGCAAAGGCCAAAGGTCAAGTCTTCGTGCAGCCGACTGGTGTCAGCTTTGGTCCTTGGCAGTTGCGGCCTCTGTGGGGGTTGCAGGGTGGCCAACTGTTTCCGGCCAAGCCTCCAAGGGGGCCGGGTGCGGAGCCATGATCCTTACCAGGCGAGAAATCTATCGAAGTTGCCTCTGTCCATGGCATCCTGTCTGCTTCAGCGGGGGTCACTGACCATGTCATGGTGTGTGCAATTTGGGCCAACTTTGAAGCCCGCATGGTCCCCGCGTTCGCGGAGCTCCCTTGACATGGACGGACCAGAGATCTGCTCGCCGAAGCCATTGGCACAGGAAACATGAGACGTAAATGCCTGAAACTTTCAAAATTCCTGGCACCTTGGGTCCGAAGCCTTCTTCTCAATAGCAGCATGTTGCCTAGCGAGAGACCCGCTGGCCACGAACTCAAAACTCTTAGCCAGCATGTGCAAGCCAGACCACAACCTCGCATCTCCTTTCGAAGCTAGGAAACGGTGTGCTAAAAGCATTTTGCCTTCAAGCAACTGCTAGGAAGTGGCGTAATTGTGCACCATCGCGGCCTTACATGGTTCAGCCAACTTATTTTGCAGCTACGGCCTGCCAGAGATCATAAATGCGCGCATGCACTTGGTAAAACCTCAAGGAACTCCAATTGCTGGCCCTGAAAAAATGAAGCCTCTTGTTTTAGAAAGGGTTGGGAGAGCCAGCAGCTGTTCAAGGCTTGACATGTACTGTGTGTTTGTATTTTGTGCTTGTTTGAGATGTGCAAGTGCATATCAATTTGCATATGAACAACTGCATGTATGTACATGTGTGTGTGTGTGTGTCGCTCTGTGCGTGTGTGCTGTACAACCGCATGTGCAGCATCGCCGTTTGCACACTGGAGCATGCGTTCTTGACGTTCCAATCCACATGCACCACTGCGCAACTCTTGTCCAGCCGCCATGCCATCTGGCTTTGCCGTGCTAGCTGAAAGCGATGAGGCAAGGGATGGGCCGCGGTTCGATCATTGGGCGTGTGTGATGGAGGTCCTCCTTGGATAAACCGACGAGCTGAGGACAAGGATTAGTTTTATTGTGGCCATGCGGTTCTCTCCACAGACCCTCCAGGTTTCCCTGAACAACTCCCATCTTCAAGGGTGTCCCCATCTGGAGGCAGAAGCCCAAGTGGAACCCACAACAGATGACTGTGGCTTGACTTGACCGGCTCGGCTGGCAGCAGAGGATCTTGTTGAGAAAGCATGCGTACCACAAAAGTTTGAAGCACATGTTCAAAGATGTTGAGGTGCAGTCACCTTATAACAGGCTGATTCAGCCACCCAACCAGAAGCTTCGCATCGTGCTCAGACAGCAAGCCCTGCGCACTTTTTGCAGACGCGGTTAGGCGCGCCTGGCCTGGCGGAAGCAAACAAAGCCGGTACCACTCGTGTGAGACGCGCGTCGCTGAGTCTGTGGCTCCGAGACCCGGCTCGAGGGCTCGGAAGCTGCGACTCAGCTCGCCAATTTTCCGAGGGTCTTGCTGGCGGTCGGTTATTTTCTTCTTCCCTTGGGGGTTGGGGGGGGGGTGGGGGGCGGGGTGCAGAACCGGTAAGTTGGATTGAAGTTGATTGAAGGATGTTTGTTCAAATTGGAGGATCGGCGTCTTAGCTTGAGTCTTACTCATGAACACTTGCAGCCTCATGCATGCTGCCGCACATTATATTTTATGAACAGAGGTGCTGTGCTGCCATCATATATGGTTTCTAGACCTACTGTGAATTTTACCTAGCGCATCCTAGCGCGTTAAGACAGTGCCAAGTTTTGGCTGAGGCCTCGGCTTTTGGGTCATCCCTCTCGCAGGATGGCGAGCCTCCGGGTGCGACAGACGGCAGCTTGGAATGAACCCGCTTGACAGGCCCCCTGCCAATCTCCCAAGCAAACCAGACGAAGCATGCCGTGCTTAGGGAAACACGAGCGATGCCTTTCGGTTTCCAGCTTAAAGTCTGTTGGGCCCTAGTAGCAATTGTTTGGAGGATAGTCCAAACTCAAGCCTTGTACAGGGCCTGTACCATTTCGTGTTTTGGGGGATCAACCATGGTGGGGCCGGCGGGTTTAACTTGCACGCATGCCCTCCCTTCCTGGAAGGTGTGTCGAACTGCCAAAAGGGGCCGGCCCTAAAGATGGAAACTTTGCAGCTGCACGCGGTCTGCAAAGCGAGCCCTCCGAATGCAAACTGTAGTATTGCCAGTACTAAATTTAGTATCGCCAAACCTAAGTTGAGTATTGCCAGCACCAAATCTAGTATATACTATTACCAATTGTTACGAATTGTTTGTGCTGGCATGCATGTGGCCAGGCTTGTTCAAAGATAGACACTTTTTGAGGAGCTTTCTGAGCAATTTGGGACGACTTAGCTTGCTTGCTCTTGCAGTGTGTTTCCACACTAAAGAGATGAATCTTGTTGTGGTTTTCGTCTTCGAGAAGCGCGGGGTAACTCTGCTAGTCCAGAATGAACCCCCTCAAGGAAAGCATAACAAATGCGCCGTCCGAATACAACTTTCATGTTGGCAGTACTCACTTCAGTATTGCCACAACTAAATGTAGTCTTGCCATGACTAGAAATGATATTGCAAATGCTAAACCTAATACTTGTCAGCAGGGATTTGCACTGTGTAAACCCCTTACTACGAATGAATCCTTGATTTGTTTTGGCTTCGAAGGGGGTCTGCCAGTCCAGAAAAGCTTTTAATGGAAAGGGCAAGATAGAAACTTTGGAGTTGCACGCGGGCTTTAAGAGCGAGTCCTCCGAAAACAAACCTTAGCATTGCCAATGGTAAGTTTAGTATTGCCAGCACTACTTGTAGTATTGCCGGCGCAAATTTAGCATTGCCAGCACTAACTTTAATATCTTTAATTGCCAGCACAAAGCTTAGGATTACCATTGCTAAATTTAATACTGCTTCAATATTCGTGCGAACAAGAAATCAACCCTTTGCAGGTTTTGGCGGCCCCGCGCAAGGATCGATGTCAGGAATTCTGGCGCATTGCATGCATAATTGTCCGCAAAGGTAGCTCAACTAAAGACTTTTACAGATGAATCCAGTGCTTTTCGTCCAGGGCAGGCTCTGTTTTGTTGCGGTGTGCTTTGCGGATCTTTGAGCCGTTCGTGCAGGTGATGCTGTGGGTATCACTGTCCGGGGCCCTAAAGCCCAGTTGGACTGAGTTTGTCCCTTCGCAGTTGAATTTCAGGCCTTTCCACTGAAGCCGAGAAGGAATAGCTTGCCCTGCAAAGCTTGACTTGCAGCATTAGGGGGGGTTTCATTTTGAGAAGAAGCACGGCCAGAACCATGTCGCCATGCACTGCTGGGTTCCTCCTCAAGGCGGAAGCAAGCAGCAGCGTTTGAGAAAATCATTTCTTTGCTCCTATTAGAAAAGAGGTGTGCTTGAACACCCGCTCCGGGCAGCTTCGGCTTTTACACTTGGCACCGTTGATTTTGCGTTGAAACTACCGCCAGCTAGCCATTCTGACAAGACTGCCACGCTGTGGGATTGGTTAGCGTGCTTTGGGCTTCTCACCATTTTGGAGCATTGCTCCCTATGAGCACTGCTTTGTTTTGGGACACCCTAAGCAAAGCCACGCGGCGACAAGCTCAGCGAATGCCGTCATTCTTTCCTGTTTGATTCAGAGGTTTGATTTGAATTGACTTTGCTTACAACGCGTTCCCGACTTCCTTCGTGCTACACCTTTCCGTGAACGGCTCCAGTCAGCCGTTTGCAAATCATGGGGGAGGCATGTTTGCCTTGCAAAAGTCCAGCGCTCTCTCTTTAGCCATCTTTGGTTGGCAGTTTTGCGAGCGCAGGGCATTGTGCTAAAGCGTATTCTAGCGCAGGATCTCATATCACAAGTGTTGTGCTCAGTTTGGAGTGGCCGGAAAGGGGGGAACATGACGTCATGCTGCCAGGCGTTAGCAGTTGATGAACTGGCATCAGTGCTGTTTCGTTTGTCTATTTTATTCAAGGTCCTTTGTATCAGATTCCCACTGAATTGTATATAGGTTAGTGACGGGTATATGGCCGTGCGTTGAACCTTGGACATTGATCAGGGGTTTGAATCCCAAACCACTAAGTTCGTGTGTTGTTCAGCGCCATATGAGGCAACAGTTTGTGGGACGCGGCAAGGACGCGAGCGAGGAGGACGAGGGGGAAGGCGAGGCAGAGCAGGAGACGGGCCCAAAGAGGCGCGGCTAGTCCGAAGTGTCAATTTTTTGTGGCAGCGCTGGCCATTTGAGGAGAGGCGCAAGGAAAGCTTACCAGATTTGAGCTCCAGGGTCAATGAGCTGTGAGCAAACCCGGCCGGGTTTGCTAGCAGGAGCGCAGTGCCAACCCTTCCCACGAACATGTTATGACTCATCTTTGCTGTAAACACTTTGGTGACTGCTCTCTGTGCATCGGCTATGAATGAAGGCCATGACTCCAGCAAAGGCAGATACTGTCGATGCGTGTGAGACAAATTCTCAGTCTGTCTTGAGATTCACCTTCGGATCCGTTAAGAAATGCGGGGCATCTCCGAGACTCTGGAGAGAATTTATTGAGGTGACTTGGCTTTGTATGACAGCTATGCTCCAGCACTGCAGCAGCAGGAGCAGAGCAAGAAGGAGGAGGAAGAGGAGGAGTAGGAAGAAGACGACGCAGAGCAGCACTGCACCACCTGTGCATTTGTTGATTCAAAACATTGATTGACATGTTATTTTCGGCTTGCCAGACTACATGGTACACGGCTCATAGACGGCCGTTCAAAATCTAATGATTTTGCCATCAACAAGAAACATCAATGTCAACGTGCAAACCGCAGTTACAGGGTGATTGCAATGAAGCACAACGAATTGGCCCGGTTTGAAGACAATGGGGCACATGGAAAGAGCCCGGAAAACTACTTCGCTTTGGACCTGAGAATCGCAACGCAGCGGATGCCAAGTGTTTTCGCGTCAGCAGCATCGTCGAATCCAGATCAGCTCACCTTTGGCCAAGCACTCTCTGCAGGTGAAGCAGGAAGTCGTGGGCGCAATTCACTTCAAGGGATTGGCGCCAAGCCCACTGAAAGACCAGGGCGCGAATGGCCGGATTCAGGACTGCCTGATCATTCACCCGCAACTTTGGCACAAGCTTGGGGAGCCAATCTTTCAAGGCTTTCCAGCTCCGATCGATGCACTGCGTGCCGGACACGCTGGAAAGAACATCCGAGTTTTTCACCCCGGAGCCAGGAGCAGTGAACACTTTCAACTGGTGGCAGACCGCCCGATGTTTCAGGCCAAGTTCCCGGCAAAGGCCCGGCCACGAGGCATTCCCGTCCGAGAAAATGACCGCCTTTCCCTTGGCTGTGCTCACTTGGGTCAGAAGTCCACTTGCGCGTATCTGGGCCTTGCTCTCCGTTGGTGGCCGGCTGCCCGGCACTGCAACCTGGACCAAAGTCAGCCATCAAGCAGCAAAACACAGAGCGTGGAAACACTAAAACAGGAAAACTTGCCAAGTCGTGAGGTCAGTGCAAGCAAGACGCAGCTGGCTCTGGCACAAAGACAACGGGTGGACCGTCGCGACACTGGACGCCGAGGACGCTGACATGCGCGCAGAAAGCGCGCGGGATCTGCTCGCCAGCCTTCCGCAGCTTGGTCTTCAGGACATCGATGGCCGACTTGTAGGTCTCGCAGCTGGCACGGACGTAGAACTTGGACAAGGCCGTGGCATCGGCTTCAATGTTGCCTTTGAGCATCTGCTGTGCGCAAAACTTCTGGCCAGCGCTCGCCTCCAGATCGCGAAGTGAGCCCAAGATGTGCTCCGCCGTGGTCCTGCCCACGGTGCAGGCTGCAATGCAGCTGGCCACCCGCGGGCATTGACTCTGCGAACACTTCGTGTACCAGTAGAGGGCGTCCACAAGGTCAACCGGGGACAGCCTCAGCCCTGCGAAGACACTGTCCTGGTATAGTGGGATGCGGGTCTGGCAAGCCGTCCACCCACCGGAGCACCGAAAATGGGGAGGACGACCTCTGCACTTGAAGACTTTCTTGACCTTCCGAGAGCTGCACTGAGGACAAGCCCGCGGGGCGCGAAGGAACTTGTACTTCAGCAGCCAAGCGATGGCGGCCACACGACTGCGCGGCTTTTCGGGGAGACCCTGCTGAGCTCGCCGTTGCACCTCTGCAGGGGAAGGCTTCCGTGTCGTGGTCCTCTTGGAGTACTTGGCCCGTGCTTTCGCTGCGTGCTTGGCGGAGAGCTTGCTGGACTTGCGCCACTTCTTCTCCTTCCGAACCACGCCCTTGTTCTGCGGCGCGGCACCGTGCTTCAGGGTGGCGACAATCTTCTGCAGCTGCTGCATCTTTTTCGCTCCAGGGTAGGGGAAGCTTTCAAGCCGATGCGTGCTGGCACCACAGCAGCCACACCGGTGAATCTGCTGCTTCCCCAGCGCACGAGTTGCCGGACGCTTCATCATGCTGCAAACGAACCGCTGCGAGAGCCGAGCGGCGCACAGATCAAGCATGCCAAAGTCCCTTTGCCACGCCTCCTGGGAACCGCATTCTGTTTCCCCTTTTCGCTGAAAGAAAAAGCAAGGTTCCTTTCTTCTGGAGGGGGTCTGAGTCAAACATAAACATGGAATAAAAGGTTTCACCCCCAAAAGAGAGACTTCCGGTTGCAGGAGGCGCGGCGCAGAGACCATGCTGCGTGTTTGAGTCGAGAACTTTTTTTCCACGTCTCGTCGGCACCGCATGAGGCTTAGATGACTTCACAAACCTGTACCTTCATGAGATGTTGCAGGCCGAGCAAGCAAGCCGTCGACTGCAAGAAGAAAGTCTTCTAGTGACGTGCGCCAGAAGTTAAAAAGCCGGAGCACGCCAGCAGTGCTTTGGAAAAGTAAAGGTCTCGCCCTCACTTCTTGCAGCACGCCGACAATCTTGGGCCGCCAGAGCTCTGCTTTCGATCGCCAAGTGGCACCCCAGCGCACCGCCACCTGCTCTGCGATGGTCTGCGGACTACTGGCGTGGCGAGGAGGTGGCAGACCATGATCCTCTGGCAGCATGACATTTTGGTCGGAGGAGGCTGC